TAATTATGTGTTGTTGAATGAATGAATGAATGAATACAAATAAATGAGGAGTATCAGGATCTTGGCAGGAGTGGTGGTGATTAAGCACTGCACATGAACTGACAACCTTTGAAGGCCACTGCTTGTATGCTGAAGATACTCAGGGAGATTTTTCTGGTAGTCTGCCCATGTTCTCTGAGATTTCAGAGTATCAGGGGAGGCCATTCTGTGCTACAACATCTCTGGTATGGGGGAAGCCTCTTAGGTGGTGGTAACATTCTTGGAGTTGTCAAAATAAGCCATCTATTTTTGCCTTTAAGTGAGTTCAATCTTCATCTTCAAATACACTTAGAACTCTCTTAGAGCTAGAATATTTTGTTACATACAGCATTTATGTTAAGTGCCTGGAGATTCTCCCTCATCCTAAGAACTTAATGTATCTATTGGTCCTGAACAAAAATGCTTCACTGAGATTCTACCCCAGAATCAGTCTGGGAAATATAAGTATTCTGGTTTCTCGTGTAGATCTTTCCTGGAAAAACATCACCTCTCTTGCACTTTATGTTTGCATTGACTCAGATACAAAAATTGAACACATGAACACATAACTTTTGAGAAATTGCATGCATTGGGATGGCTGGGTGGCTCAGTCAGTTAAGTGTCTGCCTTCAACTCAGGTCATCATCCCAGGGTCCTGGGATCGAGTCCTGCATCGGCCTCCTTGTTCAGCAGGGAGTCTGCCTCTCCCTCTGCCTGCCACTCCCCCTGCTTGTGCGCTCTCTCCCTCTCTGACAAATAAATAAATAAAATCTTTTTTTAAAAAATTGCATACATTGTTACAAAATAAAGTTATACATTGTAATGAAAACATTGTTCTATAAAATATAAATACCATGAGCAAAATAAAATATGTAAAAACAAATTTAAACCTGTCAGATAATTCATATTTCTTTGCTTTTAAGGTCACTATTGTTGATTCCAGGTTTCCGTTTTCGGTTGGTAGCCCACCTTCTGAAATGCATAACCACCTGGACTTTGTATAAATCATTTGTCACTGTTTTGTGAGAGCCTAGTTCTCTTCTGTTTTTCCTTAGTTTTCTTTTTTTTCAAATAAAAGATGGTTTGTTTGTTTTTTTAAGATCCTATTTATTTATCTGAGAGAGAGAGCATGAGTCAGAGGTGGGGGAGTAGACTCTCCTTATAGCAGGGAGCCCAACATGGGCTCAATCCCAGGACCCAATATCATGACCCAAGCCGAAGGCATACACCCAACCAACTAAACCACCCAGGCACCCCTTTCCTTAGTTTTCTTTACAGGTTTGTTAATGAAGAGAAAGCACCTGCTGATTTCCACTGTGACAATTGCTTAAACACAGAGATGTTAACACACATTTTCCTGGAAGCAACACCTTATTTCTCTCCTCCACTTCACAAACAAGCTTAGAGAGATAATCTTCTATACATGGTATCCCTAATTCTCATTCTTCTGTTTCCTCTTCAACCTACACCTATCTGGTTTCTACCCCATTAATTCCACTAAACCAGAACCATGCTAAGGTCACCAGTGGTGTCTGCTTGCAGGTCCACTGGGACAGTTCATCCACACCTGCCCCACAAGCACCACTCTGACCCGTATTCCCTTCAGGAGTCTTGTCCCCATGTGACCTTTCAACTGCACTGGCCCCTCCCACCTCAGTGCCCTTGCAGACTTTCCTCTGCCTGCCCATTAAATGTTGAGAGTCTACAAGACTACATTTGGGTCTCTTCTCATTGTCCTCTCTACTTAGAAAATGACTACATCCATTCCCTTGCCCTCATTCGCAGATACTCAATAAGGAATCCCAAACTGACACCTCCCTCATGGCATTTTTGTAAATTCTAGACCCACATTCCCAAATGCCAGTAAGACTTCTGCATTTATATGTCTCCCAGGCACCTTAGAAAGGACACCTAATATTATTTTTCCTTTCCAGCATCATTTGTATCTAAAGCTTCTTGTGCAGGGACGCCTGGGTGCCTCAGTCAGTTAGGCATCTGACTCTTGATTTTGGCTCAGGTCATGAACTCAGGATTGTGAAATGGAGCCCTGGGTCAGGCTCTGTGCTGGGTGTGGGGCCTGCTTGAGATTCACTCTCTCCCTCTCCCTCTGCCTCTACCCCCTTCTCCAGCTCTAAAAATAAATAAATAAATATATAAAAATAAACAAAGTTGCTTGTGTAAGAACATCATTTTCCTTTGCTTCTCTTTGTAGTTTTTAACATAATTGAAAATAAAATAAACAGTAGTACCATATTTACGTATCCTTCCCTGTGAGACTAAGTTTCAATACAGCAGGAACTACATGTGCTTTATTTATCTCTAGTTTTTTTTTCATTAAAAAATTTATTTATTGATTTATTTATTTGAGGAGGGTACACAGGGAGAGGGAGAAATCTCAAGCGGACTCTCTGCTGAGTGTGGAGCCTGACCTGGGGCTTGATCTCACAACCCTGAGATCATGACCTGAGCCAAAATGAAGAGTATGAGGCTTACTGACTAAGCCACCCGGGTGCCCCTTTTCCCATTTTTTAAATTTTTTTATTTTTTTTCATTAGTTTTTGATGTAGTGTTCCATGAGTCATTGTTTGTGCATAACACCCAGTGCTCCACGCAGAACGTGCCCTCTTTAATACCCATCACCAGGCTAACCCATCCCCCCACCCCCCTCCCCTCTAGAACCCTCAGTTTGTTTTTCAGAGTCCATCGTCTTTCATGGTTCATCTCCCCCTCCGACTTACTCCCCTTCATTCTTCCCCTCCTGCTATCTTCTTTTTTTTTTCTTAACATATATTGCATTATTTGTTTCAGAGGTACAGATCTGTGATTCAACAGTCTTGCACAATTCACAGTGCTCACCATAGCACATACCCTCCCCAGTGTCTATCACCCAGCCACCCCATCCCTCCCACCCCCCACCACTCCAGCAACTCTCAGTTTGTTTCCTGAGAATAAGAATTCCTCATATCAGTGAGGTCATATGATACATGTCTTTCTCTGATGGACTTATTTCACTCAGCATAACACCCTCCAGTTCCATCCGTGTCGTTGCAAATGGCAAGATCTCATTCCTTTTGATGGCTGCATAATATTCCATTGGGTATATATACCACCTCTTCTTTATCCATTCATCTGTCGATGGACATCTTGGCTCTTTCCACAGTTTGGCTATTGTGGACATTGCTGCTATAAACATTGGGGTGCACGTACCCCTTCGGATCCCTACATTTGTATCTTTGTGGTAAATACTCAGTAGTGCAATTGCTGGATCATAGGGTAGCTCTATTTTCAACTGTTTGAGGAACCTCCATCCTGTTTTCCAGAGTGGCTGCACCAGCTTGCATTCCCACCAACAGTGTAGGAGGGTTCCCCTTTCTCCGCATCCCCGCCAACATCTGTCGTTTCCTGACTTGTTAATTTTAGCCATTCTGACAGGTGTGAGGTGGTATCTCATTGAGGTTTTGATTTGGATTTCCCTGATGCTGAGCAATGTTGAGCACTTTTTCATGTGTCTGTTGGCCATTTGGATGTCTTCTTTGGAAAAATGTCTGTTCACGTCTTCTGCCCATTTCTTGATTGGATTATTTGTTCTTTGGGTGTTGAGTTTGATAAGTTCTTTATAGATTTTGGATACTAGCCCTTTATCTGATATGTCATTTGCAAATATTTTCTCCCATTCTGTCGGTTGTCTTTTGGTTTTGTGGACTGTTTCTTTTGCTGTGCAAAAGCTTTTTATCTTGATGAAATCCCAATAGTTCATTTTTGCCCTTGCTTCCCTTGCCTTTGGCAATGTTTCTAGGAAGAAGTTGCTGCGGCTGAGGTCGAAGAGGTTGCTACCTGTTCTCCTTTAGGATTCTGATGGACTCCTGTCTCACATTTAGGTCTTTCAACCATTTGGAGTCTATTTTTGTGTGTGGTGTAAGGAAATGGTCCGGTTTCATTCTTCTGCATGTGGCTGTCCAATTTTCCCAGCACCATTTGTTGAAGAGACTGTCTTTGTTCCATTGGACATTCTTTCCTGCTTTGTGAAAAATTAGTTGACCATAGATTTGAGGGTCCATTTCTGGGCTCTCTATTCTGTTCCATTGATCTATGTGTCTGTTTTTGTGCCAGTACCATACTGTCTTAATGATGACAGCTTTGTAATAGAGCTGGAAGTCCGGAATTGTGATGCCACCAGCTTTTCTTTTCTTTTTCAACATTCCTCTGGCTATTCAGGGTCTTTTCTGGTTCCATACAAATTTTAGGATTATTCGTTCCGAAGATTTTATTTTTAAGTAATCTCTACACCCACCGTGGGGATTGAACTCACAACTCTGAGATCAAGCGCTGCCTTTCTACTGACTGAACAAGCCAGGTGCCCCAGTTCACCTCTAGTTCTTGACCACAATTACACATTTGTCATTTAGATACTCTATTTTGACATATGCTGAATGGAATGGATGAGTAAATAAATTTTACTATCTGTTCTTCAATAACATTTACAAAACAATTTGGATTTTGATTTTAGAGCAAACAATCCAATAAGTTTTATTGGTAAGTATTTAATATGTAAAACAAAGTGCAAATTTAATAACATGGAAGGTAAATACATTTTGTAAATTTTAATGCAGTGAAAAGATAAACATTTCATTATGTATAATTTTTGATCTATAAATATGATAGGTACAAGAAGAAATGAATGAATGAATGAGCCAGAAAGTATCAGGGCAGTCATCTCTTAGGAATTAATGATCCTGAAGCTGGATTTTTTAACATATATTTTTTTAAGATTTTACTTATTTATTTGACAGAGAGAGACACAGCGAGAGAGGAAACACAATCAGGGGGAGTGGGAGAGAGAGAAGCAGGCTTCCCGCTGAGCAGGGAGCCGGATGGCGGGGCTCCATCCCAGGACCCTCGGATCATGACCTGAGCCGAAGGCAGACACTTAGTGACTGAGCCACACAGGCGCCCCTTTTTAACATATTCTTGCTTCATACTATTCACGAAATATTTGCTGAATTAAATTCAATAAATTCTCTACTAAGGCAGAAATGAGAGCCCCTTGCAGTGGTGACCAGACATAGGTGCGGGGTGGCGGGGGGGGGGGGGGTTATGGCAAATTTGTCCGTGACAATCATTTCAAGATGACCCCACGTCCCTTCCCTAATTCCTAACCTGTCTTGCCAGTTGGCGGATGAAGACAAGGATCTCATGATTTCCGCTCTGACAATTTCCCAGGCGCAGTCGCTGTACTTCTCTTCCAGGAGACGGATTTCCCGGAAGTACCTCTTCAGGGCCGATGTCGGGCGGTCCATTCCCAGGGCAGAATCTTCCGGTCCCACAGCCCACAGCAAACAGGAGTCCAGGTCTGGCAGCCGCCGATGGAGGCTAGAACGCAGCTGGTCCAGCAGGGGGAGCTCCAGGCAGCCGAGGAGTGCTCCGTGAGGAAGAGGTTGAAGGTAGGCTGGAGCAGCCCCTGGAGGAAGGACGTAGCCGGCCGCTCGCTGCCCTCCACCATCTCCCGCGGGAATCTGAAGGCGTTTCTGTCCTGCAGACAAAAGAAAGGGGACAGTCTCCTTACGTGGCTCAGAAGCGCGAAGTGCTCCCTGCTCACCAGCGCGTGGCTCTGAGGCAAGGCACAGCCCTGAGAGCCCTCAGGGCCGCAGGTGAGCACCCCCAGGGCGGGGAGCAGAGAGTGCAGGAGCGCCACGGGGAAGACGAGGCTGCTGCTGGTCTGGCCAGGCTGGGCATCTGGTGAACCTGGGGCCGAGGTTCTCTGAAGACAGGCTTTCCCAGCATGGCTTTTCAGTGGGGAACACAGAAATTTCCACTTTCTGAACGTTCCTCTTCGCTTTTACTTACTTTTTGTTTGTTTTCATTTATGTATTCTCCCTATTATCTAAGAAGACGTGTTCCACCTAGATCATTATTTTCACAACAGAAGCTTATTTTCCCAGTAAACTTACAATGGGTCCATCGACGTGGCTACTTAGCCAAATGAGAGACATCTTTGTCTTAAAGACTGAGGTTGTGTAGGTATGTAAGGACTCAATACACACCCACCTACACACATATCTATTTTACTATAGAAACATTGCTCTTCTGGGAGCCCGGGTGGCTCAGTTGGTTAAGCGACTGCCTTCGGCTCAGGTCATGATCCTGGAGTCCCAGGATCGAGTCCCACATAGGGCTCCCTGCTCAGCGGGGAGCCTGCTTTTCCCTCTGACCCTCTTCCCTCTCGTGCTCTCTCTCTCTCTCAAATAAATAAATAAAATCTTAAAAAAAAAAAGAAATATTGCTCTTCTTTGTGTGAGGACAAAATTTGGCCTTGATTTTGGACGAAGTGTTTACCCTCCTTCCCTTACACAGGGAGACGGGCTCCTTGGTGTCTGTGGTTTTGAATCTTGTTAGGTACCGACCAAACCAGGTATGGTACAGAAGCTCTCTAGAACCAGAACTGAGTTTTATTTACTGTTATAGTCACAACAGAGTCTTATGGTAATGAGTGAAAGAGTTTCTCCAATTATTCTCTTCATTCTAGAAATAATTCATGGAGGTCCATGTGGTTAGGGTTCACTGGGGCCTCAGGGGCAGGACTAGTACAGACACTGTCCTTTCTCTGTCATTTTATAAACTGTCTACACTACTGCTAGGCTGTGCCAGTGTCCCCAGCAGGAAGCCTGCTTCTTGTCTGGATGCGGAGGTGTGAAGGTTCTAATTGCAGATAAATGGATTTTCCCAGCCACACCTCCCTGACAAGGTAGTTATCACCTCTACTAACATTTGTCCTCTGGAGTGACTGAGTGGCTTCCACCCAAGCTCTCCTGGACTCACTCCCTGAGGGCAGGCTGAGCATGTCCTGAGGACTCTAGATGCCCCTGCTGTGCAGGGGCCCGTTTCCTTGTCAGCAAACCAA